TATTCATGTGTGACTTGCATGTTTTGGCCTGGCTTGCAGACTCAAAATAAACACAATATCTTTCTGAAGAATTTCAATACTGCATGTATCACTATAATTAGTTGCAAACTTGTGGGGGAGTACAGACATCGTGTACTCGGTATAAGAATTGAAATTTTAATTGCTGCCTTTTCTGAACAAATAAAATTTAAAAAAAAATACTTAATTATAAGTAAGTCCTTTTATTATGTAAATATACAAGAATTAGGAAACCTTAGCTTATATACTTATATACTTATATACTATAACAGTTATTCAGGTCTAAACGTTTCTCCCCAAAGGTCCAGTCGGTCTTTCGTTGGTCCATGTCACTGGCTGTACAGGAGGAAACATTAACTAAAACAAATCAGTTACTGTAAACCAAGAGCGATTGAAGGTAACATTTTAACATTAATTTAATTAGTTCCTAGAGTATATACCGGTAAAATTCTTTCATATCTCACACCCCAACAAACTGCAGATGCTTTTCAAGATTCCTGAATATATATATATATATCAGGTAAATGCTTCTCAACGAAAATTTGCCCCTCGTCGTTGCGATGTCTCTGGCCGATAAACTTTGACTGCATGTATAAGAAAAATGACAGTTACGGTTTTCACTAAGAAAATACTGGCAGTTATCGGTGAGAAGGAGAAATAAACACGACGGTTTGCGGAACGACTGACCTATAAAGATGGAAGATATATAATTTAATTAATCTGATCCTTATTGTCTATTGAGCACAGAGATCTTCTTTGACTTTGTAGCTAAATTGCTACATCCAGCAATATTGCTATAACACTGGATGTATAAGCAAGATTACAAATAATATCTCCCTACAGATGAAATGTGTCTTTAATTTAATTTAATAGGTTAACTTAAAATGACATCATGTTTTAAATATAATTTTAATTATGTTCATTGATCCAAAGATTTTCTTTCTAAATTCTTGCTTCGAAAATTATTGGCAATTGCTATACAGTATATACCATCACACACCAGACTTTGGTTAGAATGCAGCAAGACAAACGATTTGAGAATGAAAACTTAATCTTTATAGCTTTGTATATATTACGTTTGTAGTTTTCACTCTTACTCAGATTCAATATGGCGGATTTGAAAGGGCACCGCCATGCATGAAAAAAAGTGGAGAAATTATTCATGATCAAGTGCGCATTCTATATTTGTTATTTCTATATATGCACTGTTAGATGCCCTAGAATAAGAGAAACTGGGATACCAAAGAACATTGGTATCTGGAAGTGCAAGCAAACAGTTGCTCCGACTAAAACAGCTTCTGAGCATATTTTTAGAGTAAGAATGCATTTTTTTCAATTATGATAAATTTGGACTTTGGCATTTAAATTAAAGACATGACAAGATTGATCAATTTGGAGGTACCGTTATGCGTAAAATAAGCTTTTGGCAGGCATAATTGGCCATAAGACTATCCGTTATAGCGCGACGAAGACAGCAATACAAGGTCAGCGATGCACATGCACTGAGGAACTATAGTTCAGAGAACTATAGTCAATATAAGGTATAAACAATTTATATTTGAGTACATGGCGGTCTATTATAGTTTGGTGTTTTGGCGCATTTGAGAGAGCACTTTTCGGATAAGTCTCGATTTTCCTGGCGATTCACGGTGAAGAAGTTATCGCTCGGTACGTGTTATATTATAGCACTGATGAATACCGGACTTGGATCGAAAGTTTCGCCATACAAAATGCGTGATAGCGATTATCTTATTATCTCGAAATTACATATTTCGAAAGTTTCAATTGTTGCTTTAAAAATATTTTTAGCTTCAGCGTAATTGCCTGAATGTCTATACGAAGTCCTGCCTTCTGCGATATTTGCCCATGCGTATGGCAAAGAAGTTCCTAATTACATCTCGAAGTTTGCGAAAAAAATCATGCGTCCATGGTTAGTGATATCGCGTATAGCTTAATTAGTGTGACGTTTCGTTCATTGGCGAAGCCAGCAAAACAGAAGTCAGGGGACGATCGATATTATGTAACATGTCATCAAGTAATTAGGAAGTTTACGCACGTAAGACGGCAACGTTAGCATGGCGGCTATCAATACAATTACATTAATCCTATAGCACAAAAGAAATAAATAATTAAAAGCACGGATTTTAAGCCTGGTTTCATAGGTCGTAAAGAAAATAGAAAATACTATAATTGATATGTGGTTCAGTGGCGTGGTGGGGCCGAGGACCATGCCCCCCCCCCCAGCGATGGTTTCAAGAGGGGCGCCGAAATGCCAGTGGGGCGCTAAAATTGCTAAGAAGGGCCTGGATTAGTTTATGATCATTAAAGTTGATCATATCTATTTTGTGATTATTAAAATTGTGACGTTGAGACCCAATACGTCAGAACATTCCAGACGTTTGATAATTGATATGTTACATTAGACCCAATCTATTTCTTCTTTTCATAGCTTAGTACTTAAAATGCGATAAAGAACGTCTCATCAACATGTACGAAGGGCTTTCTCCCGAACTGTCAAAAGCTCTACTTTGATTTACATTTGGTTGTCCTTTAAAACTGTACATGTTATATTATGCTCAATTTGCATAAACTATAGCTTATAGTATATACGTTATTGAAATTTGACCTGGAACAAAATTATGTTTTCTCACTATCGGCATGTGATAGTAAAAATTGTATTATAGTATAATTATATTCGTTTATAATAAGCTACAACAAAACCTGATTAACGTTGTTTTAGATTGGTACTTGGTAGTAAACTGTTTCACAAAATGTGTTCTCAGAATGCTGGAAATGCCATTTCACAGACCTAGATTTTAAAAAAAATTCTGGAAGAGCATGCTCCCAGACCCTTCTAGGTCCCTCGTGCTTACGACACTCGATGTGTACACTCGCACTAATTTTCGTGGGGGAGGGGGGCGCGCAATAATCAAGATAACTCTTAGGGGCGACAGATTTAACACTGGCCCCCCTTGAAATTTTCGAGCCACCACGCCACTGATGTGGTTTACAGGTATAAACTATTATAAACTGGCCGTTGCAAATTACAAAGATCGTGACTCTATTTTTACAACCATATGAAACCAGACTTTAAGCCTGGTTTCCATATGGTAGTAACTGTCGCGAACATGTTGTAAAGGCCCATACAGACCGAACGCGATTTGGCAAGGCGACACGAATTTTCAGTTTTTAATGACATTTAACTTTAATATTTTTCAATGTTTTTCAAATATTCGGAACCACTTAAGCAATTTTAGCTATTTGGTCTGCATATCTTGTAAAATTTTTATCCGTTGACGGTTTTATTTGTTTTTGAAAACTGAAAATTCGCGTCGAGTTGCCAAATCGCGTCTGGTCTGTGTGGGCCTTAACTGTCGTCAGAGCAGTACGTGTTCGCGACCAAGTTAAATGGAACATGCAGAAAAGTCTTGTCGCGACACGCTGGCAACAGTTCACGATAGTTACAACAGTGTTGTCGAGATAGACTCGAGTTCTGATCTCGACGACACTGAGTTGCGACAGACTATTTTTTTAATGGAAACAGAAAAACGACAACGTGCATGGTAAACAGTTTGTCTTTTTAAAACAGACGCCAGCTGCTTGTACGATCCCTGGGTACGAAATTAACTTGCGACAGTACACGACACTTACAACGTACCATATGGAAACAGGCATAAAAGTCATTCATGACAAACACTTCACGAAACGTTGGCGACACGTTCGCGACAGTTATGGAAACCAGGCTTAAAACGTCGCCCAAGCTCTGCATTCATGTTGACAACGGCAAAATGCATATTTTGACGCCTCGTATAGTACGCTAGTATTTTAAGTCGTTACAGGTAGTTTTTCAAGCAGAGTTGATCAAAATTGCTCTGAAGTTTAAAGCTCTGTTTTACTCGTTCGAAACTACAAGTATCAAATTAATACAAAAGTAAATACAAGACAAGGCTTCCATACATTCGCCTGGCGGTAAAACCAAAAAAGTTTATTTTTATGCTGAGGGAAATTGGTATCTCGCTTTTATGTGGTATCTCGGTTAGCAAAACTCCTTGTGCTTTCAGGATACGGACGATCATATACTACGAGATTTCTGCATAAAATAATGTGAACCATGGCAAAATAAACCTAAAGTCGAAAGGCATTTTGAAATTCCTCGTTGTAAACGCCTCAGTGGAGCTGTCAACAACAACATCGTTTTTGCAGTCAAAACCTAGTAATTAGTAACGCATCAAGTAAATTGACTCTTGATCCCAAACCCGGCCCTGTTAGTGAAAACGACTCTCCTCAAAGGATCGTAACCTTGTGAAAACCATGTTCAGGATTATGGGAAGAACGTGACGAAATGACTTTAGAAATTGAAACTTTAAAATCTCAAACAGATATGTACTATCACCGAACCCAGCTCATGGTAATTATGTCGTAAAAATAGAGTCACGATCTTTCTCAACGGCCAGTTTATAACAGTTTATACCTGTAAAACACATATAAATCATACGTATTCTCTATTTCTAATCACTCCGCGTTGACAACTACGAGATGATATACTCTTTAGACAGAATTTCAAAAGATAAAGCCATGCACTATACCGTAGATAATGCACGTACGTGATAATAAAGATAGTCAAGAAAAACATTTTGGAAACCCATATAGCGTTTCCCTGTCAGCTCAGTAGAGATCTTACGATGTGAGACGGCAACGTGACCACGACGGCTATTCATACAATGGGATTGATAATATTTAAGAAGAAAAAAAGAATAATTAATTTCCCACGGGAGTTTCAGACGTCGTCCACGATCTGTTTACAACGGGAAACTACAGACTTTTACGTCTTGGATAAAACGCCTGCATTTCAAGACGCGAGATGTGATACTCAGCAATTAGCCAGTGCCGTAGCCAGAATGATATTAGGGACCTTAAGCATGTACGACGGCAACGCGACGACGACAGCCAAAACAAATAAATTATTGCGAAGAAGAGTTGTTGTGTATTATCCACTGCATGTATATATGAATTGAGTTCAGTTTGAAGAGATTATAACAAAGGCTTTATGGTTAAAAACGTGTCTGCTGAGCAAATTTGTAGTTTCACTTGTCGCGTCTTGACATGTTTGCGTTGTACACAAGACGTGAAAATCTCTGGTTTGCCGTTGTAAAAAGCCCTAACAACAACATCTCTAACTCCCGTGGGGCTTTTAATTATTCATTTCTTTTGTACGAGATCAGGAATACCATTGTGTGAATAGCCGTCGTCGTCGCGTTGCCGTCCTGTTTGCTTAAGGTCCCTAATTGGGGGGGTGGGGGGGGGGGGCACATATTCATAT